TATGTTTCTATTACTTACAGACCCACTGTATTCTGTTGTGAAGAGCCCTGTCTCTCTTAATTTCTTCCAAGGCATCAGCTTGCGCTTGGATGCCTTTCATCCTTTACAGCTTGCTTTTCCCATTTCTTGTCTTCCCATTCCTTTTGAAAGTATGATTTCCTAGTTACCCTTATGATACGAATCCAGCAAATGGCAGCGGTTTCTGTCCGTTCCTTGTGGAAGAGCATGGGACTTGTCTATCAAATACCACGCGCAACTTTCGCTTGTGTCGTACGAATTTCATTTAAAACTCGTCCGGCTTTGCCGCATGACTATCTTTCATTTTTCGTCTCGGTCTTCCTGTTCCTGACACCCAGTTGCCAACTGTTTGCAAGCCATTGTATTTTCTTAGACGATTCTCGACACGTTCATAACCTGGCTGTATCGTACATTATGATGACGTTACTGAAATGTCAATGAATGTTTCTTCCAAAACTTGTATATTCTAGATACCTTGCTTGGCAGTTACTCAGTATGTATTATTGTTCCTCGTAATCTATGTAAGACAGTAGTCGTTCTGAATGTTGGAATAACTGGACCCTAAATAGATGTACACTTTTGTTCCGAAGTTGTTGGCAAATCATGTGGCCCCAGTCCACCCTTTCATGTCCTCGTAGCTTGAAACGAGTTTTTGTAGAGGTTGCACTTGGACAGACAGGTGCTTCAGAAATCAATTCTGAATTTCACTTTCCTTCCAACCATCTACTCCTTCGTCCGTTCCGGCCGCAGCAGCGCATATCCTCTCCCCCGCTCGACCATTGTCGCCTCCACCAACGAGACGACCGCCCTGCGCTCTCTTGACACGGCACCACATGCCCACATTCTTATCCAGGATGAAAGTCCAGGTGACCCAGATCCAGCTGCGGTGGCAGGGGAGCGGCTCGTAGAACTCTCGCGCGATGCGGTGAAGCTCGTGAAGCCTCGTCCACGGGATGGCCGGGAAATCGTGATGCTCGTTATGCAAGCCGACATTGTAGGTCAGGATGTTGAGCGGCCCATAGTAGGAGTATGTCTCTGGTGGCAGAAGGGAGTCTAGAGGGTGCGGTTGCTGCTTGTGCTTGCTGGCTCCGCCGTTCGCCCGCATTTTCTTTTGCTCCTCGATACTTTCTGTGCCGCCGCTCTCCACCCGGGAGAAGAAGTAGTGCTCTGCAATAAAGTGGCCAGCACAGGGGTGTAGAGAGCCGGCGAGGAAGGAGCTGAGGAGCAGGTAGAGTATTGGCTGGAGGGAGCCGCCGCAGAACTTGGTGAGGGCATAGTCGAAAGAGAGCTGAGTGATGAGATTAAGTAGGTGAATGTAGGTGAATGGAGGACTGTAGATGAACATAGGTCGGACGGCGTAGAAGAATATCTGGAAGGTGCAGAAGAATGCCTTGCCCAGGAGAGAGTCTAGGAGGAAAGCTTCAACGGCGGTGGGAAGGTCGGTGTCGAGACCTGCGACGCCGAGGGATTTGTGATGCGTGAGATGGTACGGCTGTAGGGAAGGACAGACGAAGGGTCAGCAGGTGGGCGTTTCTTTTATACCAATGCTCTGTGCATCAGTGTCACGGTGTGGAGTTTCAAAAGCCACATACCCGGAAGGCGGCACTGTATGGCACTCCAATTGGAAGATTGGCGATGATGGCCAACAACCGATTAGCCATTGCTGAACGAAAGGCCAAATTATGCGAGATCTCATGGATCGCAAGGAATAGATTCTGGTTTGCAGTTGCCCCAATTATATACGCCGTTGCCCAGAATCGCCACGAAAAGAATGATGTATCGCGAAGGAGATATGCCCAGCAAAGTTGAAGGGTAACAACACCCAGAACGACATATTTAGTGAGAGGCTCAGGCCCGCAGAGCTTGGTTACCTAGGAATTTTGAGAGACAATTAGCCAGGTGGTTGTGTTGTTTAGAGAAGAGTACACCTACCTCTGGATGAGCCTTGATGATCGCCTGCCGCCTCGACCGATGAGGCTCCTCAGTATAGGTCCAGAAGAACTGATCTTCGACCGCAGACTGCTCCGGAGGTGGAATTCTCGCCGATGGTTGAGTATCCGATGAGGACTTATCGCCCTGGCTCTTTGCGGCGGACACGCGGAGGTGAGGCGCGGAGGCAGTTGCAACGACAGAGGGCATGGTGGTGTAGGGAATTGCAGGACTCGTAACAGCTTAGTCCATGGATGCAACAATCAAGAAAGAATGAACTGGGAATCGAAAGAAGAAGATATGGGTCAATTGACGTTGAGCTTTGACGATCAGACAATAATTGGAGACCATCGGACCCGGAGCGGATAGTTTCCACGTGGGGCTACAGCGGCACATGATATGATTAAGGGACGAGTCACTAATTTTGTAACCTCTAGGACAGGGCAGCCATGGCCCTGGATACGTGGGTGAAGAGTGAGTGATTCATTCTTTGATTCTATATATGCTGAATTTCAAGCCTGGGTCGTATCATTCTGCTTTCTTCGAAGCATTGAGCTCTTAGGCTCATAATAATATCCACATCAAGTATGCAAGAACATTATGGACATTCTTTTAGTAGTCGTCTCCTCTGCTTATGACTTCCTTTACGGTTGGTCTGAGGAGGATGGTCTGTAGTTAAGGTCAGCTTCTGTTCCTGAGCATCACGGTGTAAGTCTTGCCCATACATGTTCGAACTGGGCGGTGTAAGAGCCCTTGATATCGCAGAGAGGAGGATAATCCTGTACGATACCCGACGAAACAAGGTTATTTAACTGGAGAGGTATGTCAGTACGGTAGAGACGGGAGATTGCACCGGAAGTGGCAGAGTATTGACGTACTCCAAGGAGATATTTCTCTTGGCCTAGTCGGTCGAGATACCGACGGCAGAAGGGTAGCGTGCCGAAATTCTTGTTGATAACATTGAGTAAATTCTTCGCGGATGAAAGTCTCAGAGGAACTGAAGGCGCATCGGGGTTCAGGGCATAGTGGGAGGTTTCCATCTGCAAAAGATTACGGGGTAAGCATATTCCGAACGCAAGCGATGGCGTCTACTTGAAAGCACTTACGTCTTCTCTCACGTAGCCCTTTCCAGTACTACCGAAAGTCTCGATGGCGAAGGTTTCACCCTCCTCCATCTTGGTTTGGTCACTGCCCTTCACAATGGGCACACTCTTGCCGCCATGGATAATGTGCTGATCGATATTGTGACCGTTCAGGTTCCGAATGCACTTCACAGGGTACATCGTGCCGTTGAGCTCAACTTCGTAACTCTCCATGGCCTCCTGGATGGCTGCACCAATGTCGCTCATACGCACATCGATACCGGCTTCCTGCAGTGAAATTGTCAGCAAGAAATCCTCGATAGCTTGAAGGCTACGGTTTGACGAACCCGAATACCGGTGTTGGTAGCATCCTTGACAGCTTCCAGCAGAGGGTCATAGACCGGATCAAAAGTCATAGTAAAGGCACTGTCAACAATGCGGCCGTTGATATGAGCACCAAAGTCGACCTTCATCACATCTCCTTGTTGCAACACCATCTTGTTGCCGGCATTGGGAGTGTAATGAGCCGCACAATGGTTAATGCTCAGACCGCACGGGAAACCCATACCACCCTTGAGGTTATCACCTTCCTCTAGTCCCTGGTGACCAGTCAGAGCACGCACTGCATCCTCAATACCCTCAGCAATTTCCGTCAAGGTTTGGCCGGGCTTGATGGTCTTCTGCGCATACTGGCGGACCTGACGGTGGACCTCGGCAGCTTGGCGGTAGTCCTGCAGGAAGTCGTTGTTCATGCGATCGAGATAACGCTTCTCCTCGTTGGTCGTGCGGTAAGAATTCTCGTTCTTGTATTCGACGATTTCGCCCTCGGGATATTGGTTGTTGGGGAAAAGATTCGATACTGGGACACGCGGAGGAGAACTCTGAACCTTGGCGCCTCCCTTCTTCTTCTTCTTGGACTTGCGCTTCTTCTTTTTCGCAGCTGTAATCCGGGGGTTGTAAGTGAGAATTCCCGAGGTCCGACTGACGGCCATGTCAAACATGAACCCAGACGTGTAGGTACGCACCTCCGCCTGCACCGGCCTCCGGAGCAGCATTTCCATCTTCCTTCTCATCGTCCGAGTCATCTTCCGCTTCACCAGCTTCTGTCTGACCGACGGCAGAGGTATCCGCTTTGGCGTCACCATTCTGGCCGTTCACTGTAGCGAAGAATCATGTTTCATTAGTATAAGCCGGCTTGAAAGGCTTATAGACAATGTATCGGATTCGAGGCGGAAATACTCACAGTTGAGGTCCTGCAACTTCTCGCTAGCCTGAGCCGCCATAATGACAACCTTTATTGAGTAAGGAAAAGACCGTCGGCTGAAAACAAAAACTGTGTAGCTAGTAGGAAGAATTCTGGATGAGGGACAAGAGGCGACATACTTTGATGCGGAAAGTTCTGTGCCAAGACTGAGTGCGGTATAGACGACCCGGCGATAAGCCTTATGACGATGTCGGGGCTAAAGAAGCTATGATTATAATGCTACGATATTAATAATTTGATTGATGTGAGTATCACAGTGAATTGTGACTTGGTCTAATTTCCCCGCAGGATTTTGTGGGGTAGACATATATTGTGGAAGTCGTCTATAAACGGCGAGGATGCTGCGCAGATCTTGTTAACAATACCCCCGAGGTAAGTGAAGATGTGGTCTACGCAGTAGTCGATGGAAACATAATCTGAAGCTGGATACTAAATCTATCTGATTTTTACGTATAATTATTATCAGATGACGCGCCCAGTGCTAGAAAATCCAGCGGGTCTTGAGATGTGCCATATAGCCAGTGGAGAGACAGCCTGGGATCTTTATCAGATCTTCATCCTGGCAATGTCCGACTCCGATGACGCACCTACGACGGCGGGAATTCCCCGTCAACTCTAAACAATCCTCTCTCCAGCCCAGACAATTTCCTCTCATCAACTCTCCTTTTTTCTATAGATCTAGATGTGAACTCAACGAATGAGAAGTGATGCCATCTCCTCGTGTGAGGACTTTCACTCCATACATTCTTAATGCTTCCTGGCCGCCATCAATCCACCGGACTCGAGCGTGCACGGCTCCATTTTCAACGACGTCAACCCTATATGCAGACAGTCATGAACCAACATTATACGAGATACTCGATGTGCCGGTGACAGCGTCAGCAGCAGAGATTAAAAAGTACGATTGTTTGCATCATTCAGCGCTGCGTCCCTCACCCCCTCATCTCCCACCTTTTCTTCTCTCGGCACCTCTAACATAACCCGCATCGTCAGAAAATTCTACTCTCTCTCCCTCCATCATCACCCAGACCGCAATCCTGGCGACCCGAAAGCCTCTTCTCGCTTCGCCCGTATCTCCTCCGCCTACCACGTCCTCAGCAACAGCGCCAAACGCTCCGCCTACGATCGCGAACACGGCATCTACGCCCAACATGGCTCCACACACAGCACCGCAAACCCGGGCCAACACCCTATGGGTAGCCACAGTAGCTATAGCGCAAATCTTCACACCAAAGGTGCCTCCTATGCGGGGTCCAGACCGGCCAGCGGCCTGAGCAAGCGTCGCGGGCCTTTCCGTGGTCCGCCCCCATCGTTCTATGCCCATGGCGGGTACGGGAGTAGCAGACGTCCGCCTCCAGGCGGTGCGTCGGCATCCTGGTCATCTGCGGGTGCTGCCGGCAGCGCCCGGGATGAGGACCCGATCTCTTTCATTGACCGGAATCCCGTCTACCACTTCAATGCCCGGGGGCATTACCGAACTCAGTCGGCGGAGGATGCCCGGCGGCAGGAGCGGCGATCGAGAGAGATGAGTGCTTTGAACGAAAAGCACATCGGCCGTGCAGGTGATTTTGCGCTGCGCTTCATTGTCGTATGTGGAATTTTACTAGGTGCGGGGGCCATGACTGGCTGGCTTCGCTGGCCGACCACCTCCAAATCCGGCACTGCAAGCCGGCGGAAGGACGGCTAGGGTCTTCCAATGACGGATAGTGCAATATCGAAGTCGCACTTCTTTCAGGACTGTGTGCCTACTTTGTGAGAGTTTTTCATCGTATATACGTATATACACCTTATGATGACCTCGAGACAGCGCGTGATATTTGAGTGTACAGTATAGCATAGATCTACGCAAGGGAATGGTCTCCACAAACTTCGGGCGTCAAACAAATGAAATTCGGACCTGATATACAGTGATCTTCGTGGTATACGATACATGAAATAGACTAAGCCCACCTCAAACAGAGATCCACATCCACTCCAACAATGTTTTCCAGCGCTTACATCAACGCTCTCCGACCGCGACTTCACGTAGTAATTGCGGAGCCACGTGGAGACCAGGAGAACAGCCAGCTCAGAAAACTCTAAATTACTATCAGATCAACACACAACTGCTGTTGGCAGCTTCTTGAAAAGTATTTTCAATTCGTACTGAGAAAAGATTTCGGGACATTGGAAACTAGGTGTGGAGGATACTCGAGGTGCGAAAAATGTTTGGTCTGAGGAACCATCTAAGCCTCGAAGGTGAAGCTGGCACCGACCTTGTGGGCGGCCTGGTTCAGGTTCTGGGTGTCGAAGGAAGCACCGAGACCGAGGGTGACGCCAGGGCGGAGGAGGACGTTGTAGGCCAAAGCGGCAATACCACGGTCGTTGATCTTAGCCTGCATTAAAGGAACACAGATTAGCGGAATTTGGTTTCACACCAGAAGACGCTTCCACATACCTTGGCGAAGGAAGAGGGGTCGAGTCTGTACTTGCTGGCAACCTCGAGGCCAACAGAGTTGCCGGCCTTGGAGTCCCAGGTGGCCTTGGCACCAGCCTCAACCTGCTGGTTGACGCGGTGGTAGTAGCTGGCGGAGAAGACGGTCAGGTTGTTGCCAGCAGTGATGGCAGCGGTGTACTGGGGAACGCTGTAGCCGACGGCAGCAGAGTACTTGGTAATGGCAGCCTTCTGGACGTCGTAGCCACCCTCAGCACCAACAAGGAAACCCTCGTGGCCAAGGACAGCGTCGAAGTTGGCGGAGGGGCCGTTGAGGAGGTCGAAGAAGGCACGAGCGTGCAGGTTGGGCTGCTTGAAGTAGAGGTTGAGCTTGGCACCCTTGGACTGCTTGGATGGCAGGTACTGGGTGAGGATCTCAGCCTTGAGACCCTTGGCAATGTTGTTGTCGAGCTCGAGCTTGGTGTCGAGGGCATTGGCGGTGGTCCAAGCCTGGGTGAGGGTGAGACCTGGGTGGGGACAGAATATTAGCATCATGGAATGAGCGACTATCCTGGTCATGAATAGGAATCTCAAGTATGCTGACGAGACCTGGCCGCATGTAAAGGAGAACATGGACCCGGCATCGCCGGTTTTTCTGGTGCTGGGATCAGGTGGTTTGCGCGTTATGGGGCGTTTACCAGTAGGCAGGTCGACGTATTTGGCCTCAAGCTGTACGGATAACGAGTTGTGGGTCAGCACCAATCCGGCCAATTGAGCTCTGTAAAATTCAGGAAGGCGCAAGATGCGAGACTTACGGAGCCAGCAATGGGACCCTCGTGGGCAGACTTGCCCTTCACGTTGAAGGTGACGCCATTGGGAGCCTTGGACTTGACCTCGAGGCTGGCTGAAGGTAGGTGGTTAGCTCAATTGCGCAACAGTGTACGAAGATGGTAGTGAGACTTACCAGCGCTGGTGTGGTAGAAGTCCTTGTTCAGGAGCTATATAACACAGTGTATTAGCACGGAAGGATCCTTCCCGACAGGCTGTCGTTTGCGCTATTTTTCATTTTCAAAACAGGGAACCAAAGGAAAGGCATACATCGTTAGCCGCCTTGGCAATGTCAGAGAAAGCAGCAGGAGCAGACATTGTGAATGACAGAGGATAGGATGGTAGTAGAATGGTAGGAGAGATACGGTAGCTGTTGGCTCAGGAGGTTTGTGATGATGGAGGGGAGAAGAAGTGGAAAGCGATGGGGAAGAACGAAGAGGTCGGCAGAAGGTTGAGTTGCCAAACAATGGGGAAGCCACGGGAAAAGGATCTTGCGCCTATTGGTTGTTGCTCGGGTTGCCGGTAAAAGCCGCTAAATCGCGTGACGTTGTCTTGATGCCTTAGGTTGCGCGGTTCGATTCCCTCCTTCGGTACCTGACCCTGTACTTGTATCGGGGGTAGATACTCTGTACTTGGATTGTTTTGGTCTCGACGCAATTACGCAGAACATTGAGCAGTTGAAGTGCAACTACTTCATGAAAAAATCCTTTCCCCCCAATATAAGCTGAATGTCGGTGCGATTCCTTTGTGCTGTATTTCTTGATATGAACTGCTGTTCATGCCTTGCTCGACGCAATCAATGGACCATGGCTCCCAAGTCGCGCTTACAAACTCCAGACTTGAAAATAAAAGCAACAATTGAAGATAAGATTTCATTAAGGGACGTAAGTTGACATATATCGCAACGCCGTAAGCCCATTGATTTTGGACTCTTTGTCAGTCAGGGAAACGGAAAGGACATCCCAGAAGCGCAAAGAAAGTGACGAATAGCTTTACATATGCTGCAAAACTCTGCTTTTTGCAATCCCGGGAGTACTTCCGGTTAATAATGTTAATAATCTATACATTTCTCTATGCCCAGAAAATTTTGTGATGACCAACTTGCGTGAACCAAAACTGGAAGAACCATTTACTCAACGTGCTCATACTTGGCCGCGTGGATTGCGATAGCTCTGGGAAGTTATGTATCAGCATCGGAGAAGCGTCGACCAAACATAGTGGGAGCTCTTACCTTCCACTAGGGTCGGTCTGTTTCGACCATGTCGGTGTCCAACGCTCGACGGTGGATGCGCAAGTTGGGGGGAAGTGCTCGTCAAACATCAAGCGGTACCAGTACCTGAAAACTGTTAGAGACTATTGTCTACAATCTGAGGCTTCTGAAATAGGCCGAACTTACGCTTCCTTGGTGTCAGGGATATCGTTACCCCATTCCGGCTTGGGGTTCTTCATCATCTCATCAGTGATTTGCTTTTCGGCCCGATCCTTCAGGCCGTCAATCCAGCTGTAGCCGACACCATCACTGAACTGCTCCTTCTGACGCCAGAGAATCTTCTCCGGGAGGTAAGGCTTGGTGTCGGGCTCGTCCGAGGTGTCGAAAGCTTTCCGCAAGATGTACTTCTCAATGCGCTCTTTCGTGATCATTTTCTCCTGAGGGTCGACACCCATGGCCGCCTCGAGGAACTCCTTGTCCAGGAAGGGCACACGAGCCTCGAGTCCCCAGGCAGAGGTGGACTTGTTGGCTCTGAGACAATCCGCCAAGTGCAAGTTCTTGACACGTCTGACGGTCTCCTTGTGGAACTCCTCCTTGTTGGGAGCGGCATGGAAATACAAATAACCACCGAAGATCTCGTCGCTACCCTCTCCACTGAGGACCATCTTAACGCCCATAGCCTTGATCTTACGGCTGAGCAGGTACATGGGAGTAGAAGCGCGGATAGTTGTCACATCGTATGTCTCAAGGTGGTAGATGACATCAGAGAGAGCGTCGAGGCCTTCCTCAACGGTGAAGGTGAAGGCATGGTGCTTGGTACCCAGGAATCTGGCCACCTCAAGGGCAGCTTCAGTGTCGGGGGCACCAGGAAGACCGATGGAGAAGGAGTGCAATTGCTGGAAAGTGGTGACGGTCGACAGCTCGTTAGTATCGTCAATGCCGACCAAATCAGATGCACCAGTCTGGTCTACAAGAGCGTTCTTGGCCGCTTCTTGCATACGCAGAGTCTCCCGCTGGGCGATGGAAGCCACTAAGCTGGAATCGAGACCGCCAGACAGCAAAACACCATAAGGCACCTCCGCCATCAGACGCTTGCGCACGGACTTCTCCAAAGATGCACGGATGACCTTGTAGTCAACAGGAGCCGAGGGGACGTTAGTGGGATCCCACCACTTGGGCTGGAAGTAGCGGGTCATCGATCCGGTCTTGGAGTCGTACACATGGCCAGGGGGGAAAGCCTCAATCTTGTCGCACACAGGGTGCAAAGACTTCAGCTCGGAGGCGAAGTAGACTGCTCCAGGGGTCTCAGAGGACCATCCGATATAGAAGCTGGTGATACCGATGGGATCACGAGCGGCGATGACCCGGTCTTCCTTCTTGTCATAAAGAACCCAAGAAAACATGCCATCAAGATGCTTAGGAGCGTCAAGGCCATGTTCCATATACTGAAGCTGATTAGCCTCTGGAAGCCGGCGAATTGTGTGAAAGGTCTTGGGGCATACCAAAGGAATGATCACTTCACAATCCGAATGTGTCTTGAAGTTGTACTGCTTCCTCAATCCCTTTCTCAGGATCCGGTGGTTGTAGATTTCGCCGTTGACGGCCAGGGCAATGGTGCCATCATCGTTGACGAGGGGTTGCGCTCCAGAGTCTATTGTGAGTTTAGCGGGCAAATTCGAAAGCGGGATGCTTGGCATGAGCACGAACCGACACCGACGATACACAAACGCTCGTGAGCGAGGACTAGGGTTCAATTAGCATTCCAGTGAGCTTTGACGTGAATTGTCAGATGTACGAACTGGTGCCGTCAGAAGACCAGTTTCCACCTGTTATAGTTGTTGCGGTTAGCCGGTCATTCGAGTCTCCCGAAAGCGAGGTGACTCACTCCAATCGGGACCACGATGGCGCACACTGGCAATGGTCAGTCCCGAATCCGTATGATGTGATATGAATCACTGCGAGAAACTTACGCTTTGGCCATGCGCAAAGCCGTGGGCTTGAATTTCTGCACATCAGGATGACTATCACGCAATCAATGGTCAGCGCGGACTCGATCAGACCTGGAGGAGGCCCCGTCCGATGTGCGGCTGCCCACTAAAATTCGCGGGGCACATGCACAAGGGACGAAGCTATAAAAAAGGACGTACTGGTGACAAGCGAAGATTCCACACATGCTGGGTACGAGCAATTGAGAAATCACTCTGGAAAATTAGACAGCAAGATGCTCGAGAAGAAGAGAAGAGTAATTGACTAAGCTAGCTAGGTATTCGTGGGGGAGGGAAAGGGAAATTTTAAAAGAAACCTGGAGCCAGACCGGCGGGGCGGAACAATGAGCGAGGGGCGATTTCGGCCACAAATCTTGACTCATACCACCGATAAGATAACCAACTGCCACTGCCGGTACACTAACCACAGTTTGGTGTCCTGATTGCTGAGGAAATCTTTTTACCGCTGCTTGTGGAGTCGTAACCTTTCAAGCTGTCGTTTACATGGACGTTCATTGGCCAATGTCTCCATCCTCTGATCTTTCTTCTAGGTAACCACCATGATATATATCCCATCACCGTTTCCACATCCATCTTTGCGGACACTCACCAACAGGACAGATGATGAAAATACGCGATGAGAATGGGTCAGACTGATTTGCCAAGGATTTTCTGGGCTATTCTGAAGATAAGGACAAGCCTTTGCTTGACCCCGCTAACCGGATTGCCAGCCACAGAAAGGGTGCCTTTCTCCTATGGCCAGTGGAATTGACGCGTAAAGGGGTACAAAGCATTATTAATTATCTGGTGTTTCATCAGCCGAAGCGATCCCCTTAACAAAAAGAGAATATACGTCGATCTGTGTGACACCAACTTGTTCAATCCTCGGACATGGAGGGGCTGGGCTATGACCAGCTCCGTGAAATTCCCTTGAGGGAATGAAGACAGCTTGATATCTTGCGCGTCATCACTGCTACAGGATGAATATCTCTGAATGCAGAGATGTACCTAGCAGGGTTGCCAGCCATGCTGGGAGGAAATTTGAAGGCGGCTATAGCGGGAATAGACGCGTTTTCGCCAAAAGGAAGGAGTAGCGCACAGTGTCGAAAGCAGTGTACAACTGGATGCCTTATGAGCCCACCATGAGATGTCCTATTCGCCACGGTACAAAATTGAACAAACCCATTCTGGAGTTGCGAGCATGTGCCTCAGCTTCTAGATTCGGTGGACGCAGAGCCTTCTATTCTGCCAGAGAGCCTTTGAGACAGTCCGATAGAAGCTTTATTTTTGCCTTGATCGGTCAAACGTAAGACTGGTTAACAAATCTATGCTCATACACTGTCTTCACATACTCAATAGAATGATGGACTCGCCAGGGCGGTATTCAATACTGCGCAGCGAGCAAGAGATAACATGACTTTCATATCTTGCTCAGCGGCAGCCTGAAGCCTGTACCTAGTCAGGGAGAAGACGAGAAACAATTCGAATAAGCTGCACCGTTTCTCGTCCAGCGAAATCTCTTGGATGAATAACTTCAGCATTACCGCAGAGGGTCTCGTCTAGAATCACGCGGTTCGGATGTGTGCTGAGCCGAATGAGAGTAGCCTAATTACTAAGGTGTAAGTCCAGCGTACCATACCCCCTTAGTTCATACTACGGTAGGTAGACATACTTATGGGTCTGTATATGTAGGTAACTATAAAATATAGCATGGAACATGTTATTCATTACCTAGTTCCTCATGCCTCCTTGTCCTTGGCCTTAAGGAATCCGTTCTATGAAATTGTCCTTCTTGTCCCTTTTCCTCCTATGCTTTCTCGCTTCTTTTCTTCGCTGTAACACTCTAATCCTCGGATTGACCCTCCCTGTGTGTCGTCCCTGTCCTCGAAATGGTGCCGATGCTATTGCTCACAGCCTACATGGCCGTTGCGATGCTGACGGTGATCTTGCTCAATGTTGTTTATCAACTATTCTTTCGGCTTTGGAATCGGACAGAACCGCCAATGGTCTTCCATTGGATCCCTTTCTTGGGCAGTACCATCAGCTACGGGATTGATCCCTACAAGTTCTTTTTTGCCTGCAGAGAAAAGGTGAGTTTCAAGGCTAGCGTTTGACATTCATCC